TCTTTCTGACGTTTCGCCAGCATCTGTGGCTGACATCTTCAGAGAAATGTGAGAGCTGTTCAGCAGTGGGACACACTCCCTCGGAGAGTGATGGAGTCTCCATCTTCAGAAGTCTTTAAACAGAGGCTGGATGGCCATCTGTCGGGGATGCTTTGATTTTGAGTTCCTGCATGGCAGAAGGGGGGTTGGACTGGATGGCCCTTGTGGTCTCTTCCAACTATGATTCTATGATTGTATGATTCTATGAATTACATCTAAAGAACACTAGGTCAAGGAGAACTGGTATCTATGAATACACACACTTACCTCTCACATTTGCTATAATTTGGCCTGCACAAAGAAACGGGGGGTCTTTGCCATTGTCTTTAGACTTGGAAAATGCCAGTTTTCTTCAAAGGAGGCATTACAAAGAGGAGAAGCCCTGGGTCAGATGGCAAAGATGTGCAGTTGCACACAGCAGTGTGATTTTTCCCATCCATTGGGGACAGATGTGGCAGAAGAGATGCTTCTCTGCAGCAGCTGACCTGTGGAAGACATAGTGCTCAAACTGTTGTATGAATCAGACATCCTGAAGCTGGTTAGTCCGGATGACAGTCCCCCCAAGCACCATGAGCAATCTAGGATATGAGCACTGTTGTTGCTGTTAACCACCCTTGAGTCAATCTTGACTCATGGCGACCCTGTGGATAAGACATCTCCAAGACTCCCTATCCTCCATTATTCTTCTAGGTTCTTGCAGTTTCATACTCGTGAACTGAATCCGTCTAGCATGTGGTCTTCCTCTCTTTCTACTTCCATCCACTTTTCCTAACATTATTGTCTTTTCCAACGATTCATGCCTTCTCATGATGTGTCTAAAGTACGACAGCCTCAGTTTAATCATCTTTGCCTCCAGGGAAATTTCAGGCTTGATCTGTCCTAGGATCCATTTATTTGTTCTTTTTGCTGTCCACGGTATCCTCAGCACTCTTCCCCAGCACCACATTCTCTCAAATGAATTTATTCTCTTTTTGTCAATTTTTTAAATGAACATATGAACATAGAAGGCTTTAAAAGGTGTCATAGGGCCTTTGCAGACTGCCAGAAA